GAGTCCAAGTTAGCACATGTTGAGTCTTCAACGTCTTTTCCATCTCCATTAACCACGTTAAAAAAATATATTTAGTCTCTAAATCCCTCTGCAATATTCTGGCAGAATCCTCAGGATTTTCTCATGTTCACTAGTGGTCTCTATTACTAGAACCACTTGAGAGGTTTTCTGTTTTAGTTTTTCATTTCACTTACTGTAGTATCTGTTACATTTTTACTTCACTATTTTTTCTGTTCTTTTTTGTTATATTTTCTTTTTTGCCCCCCCAAAATGTTTTGTACTTTTTATATCTCTTTGAAAATCCTTAACATATTGCTTCAAATTGATATTTCTCTATTATATTTTCATATTTTAACTAGACTGAATTTATCTCATGGCTGCTGTACCTAAATTGGTATTCTTCATAAATTCTGGAATACCAGTTCCCAGATCCACCTTGACTGGAAGCCTGTCATGTTCTATACTGTGGCTAGGGAGCCGCTATCTCACATTGATATTGTAAATAGTGCAATCCAGATGCCAAGCTATTGGGTGGTATAGTCTTTGCCTCATTTCTTGGCATTATCTACTTCCTCTTTTCCCCCTACTGATGCAGTTTTGTAATAGCTCTGACCATTGATTCACATAAATGGTGAGCACCACGTTTCTGAGTTTCCATCACGGCAGGGAGAGCCTTACTAAAGCACCTCATTCCAGGTTGTGAGTTCTTACTCAGTTTCATCTCCAGCAGGGATCTTTCAGTTTTTATCACTCACTGGACCCCAAACTGCCAGCAGGTTCTACTTGCTTCCATTTCTGGAACCAGCAAGCCCCATCTACTTTATGTTCCTTTTCTATTTCTAATCTAGAACATGAATATTTTGTCTTTGAGAGTGGTTTTATCTTTCTGATTTTCTGTATTTTGCTTCAGTTAAAATTCTGATGAGAAATGGGTGCAAATGTATAAAGCATGAACTGGATGCTGTTGATTTTTTGATAAAATGGAAATGGCAGATATATTTTATTACACTAATTAGTATTCTGGATTCACAATTGCTTGTAGTGATGCTCATGCTATTCTTGCTTAGGTAAGTGGTTCAGTGGCACTCAGATGGGGAATGAAATGGAGTTTGGTGCAATTTCCTCTGTATAATGAAAGCAAGACAGCTAAGTTACTTTTTGAACTATGCAGTTTGTTATATATACCTTGTCGATTCCAAATATTTGTTTGCTAAATTTAATGTATTTTATTTAATTTTAGTTGCTAGAAACCTGGGCTTGATACCTCGTTCTGCCAAAGATCAGTTATTCTTAATGTAACATTCAGTGAGCAGAACCAAAATATACTTTAAATATACTCTGAAATCTTGTTATAAAAGAATGAAAAAGATTTTTCATTCAATGAGTACAGTTTTTTTCTTCCTTCAAATTTCCATGTGACTGATAACTTATCAATGTGTATTGTATGTTACAAATGGACTTGTCAGGAAAGGAATTATAGATATCCGGGAACCAGAGATAACTTAACCTCAGGACTCATTTCCCATGCCCCACCCTGGATAATGTACAGAATGTTCTTGTCTTAGGGAGAAAAGTTTATTATTTTCGGAAAGTGATTAGTATAATACCTTAGTCTCAGAGTTATTGGGGTTTTATATATTGTAAGGTTTACTGTGCTTTTATAGTATACAAAGATATACAGGAATATATGGGATACAACTGCAATAAGTATGACGAGAAGTTGCCATTATGCTTTTAATGTTATAAAAATAACATGTTTGAGGACGTGCTTGTAATGGAAATGGAAGGGTCATGACTCAGGATAATCTTCAAAGGGGCCTGAAAGGTAAAATGTTTGATAAATTCTTACTGCACTGGGCAAAAACAAACATCTTCCACCCAGAACAATTTCATGTATCTATTTAAAAACATCTCCTGTTTTTCTGAAGTTGGCAGTTAACATTTTACGTAGTTTGAATTCTTGAATTCAAACAAGAATTCAAGTTGTGAAACAGCTGTCATTGTTGTGCAGAATTTCTACGAACAAAATCATTGGAAGAAGTAATTCATGGGGGAGAAAGTAGGGGAGAAAAAATTTACCAAAACTGAGACTAAGTTAAATTAGGAGACTTCCATCTCATTCAATGAGGCCAATCTTGGGATGCTCATAAAAAGAAAAAAAAAAAATGAGGACTGTCTCAAAATGTCCACAGCACTGGATGTGTAATGTTAAAGGGAAAATTGTGGGATCAAGACATAAAAGAACCAGAACAAGGAAGCCTGAGATTTCAGATCTCCTAAACACTGTGGCTGCTCCGCAGTTTCTGAAGAAAAAGGGCTCAAAACCATCTTTTACGTTAGTATTAAAAGACTTTTTTTTTTTTTTTTTAAAGATGGAGTTTCACTCTTGTTTCTCAGGCTGGAATGCAGTGGCACAATCTCAGCTCACTGCATCCTCTGCCTCCTCAGTTCAAGTGATTCTCCTTCCTCAACCTTCTGAGTAGCTGGGATTACAGGCGCCCACCACCATGCCCAGCTAATTTTTGTATTTTTAGTAGAGACAGGATTTCATTGTGTTGGCCAGGCTGGTCTCGAACTCCTGACCTGAGGTTATCTGCCTGCCTCAGCCTCCCAAAGTTCTGGGATTACAGGCAGGAACCACAGTGCCCTACCAAAGGACTTTATTTCTAAAATTTTAAAAATAATTTCAACTTTTATTATTGATTCAGGGGTGCATGTGCAGGATTGTTACATGGGTATGTTGCATGCTGCTGAGGTTTGGGGTATCACTGATCACCCAGGTAGTGAGTGTAGTATCCAATGGTTTCTCAACCCTTGACCTCCTCCCTCCCTTCCTGCTCTAGTAGTTCCCAGTGTCTATTGGTTGCCGTCTTTATATCCATATATACTGAATGTTTAGCTCCCACTTATAATTGAGAACATGCAGTATTTGATTTTCTGTCCTACATTAATTTGTCTAGAATAATGGCCTCCAGCTGCATTCATTTTGCTGCAAAGGACATGATTTTGTTCTTTTTTATTGCTGCATAATATTCCATGGTGCATACATACCATGTTTTCTTTATCCAATCCACCACTGATGGGCACCTAGGCTGATTTCATATCTTTGCTGTTATGAATAGTGCTGCAGTGATCATATGAGTACCGCTGTCTTTTGGGAGAATGATTTATTCTCTTTTAGGTATATACCCAGTAATGGAATTACTGGATCAAATGGTAGTTCTGTTCTATGTTCTTTGAGAAATCTCCAAACTGCTTTCCACAGCAGCCAAACTAATTTTCATTCCAACCAACAGTGTGTGAGTGTTCCCTTTGCTCCATAGCCTTGCTGGAATTTGTTGTTTTAATAACAACCATTCTGACTCATGTGAGATGGTATCTTATTGTGGTTTCAATTTTCATTTCTCTGATGAAGAGTGATATTGAACATTTTTTCATATGTTTGTTGGTAACTTTTGTGTGGGTTTGAGAAGTGTCTGTTCATGTCCTTTGTCCATTTTTTAATGTGTTTGTTTTTTTGCTTGTTGAGTTGTATAAATTCCTTATAGATTCTGAGTATTCGACTTTTATCAGAAGCAGAGTTTGCAAATATTTTCTCCTATTCTGTAGGCTGTTTACTATGTTGATATATTTATTTTGTTATGCAAAACCTCTTTAGTTTAATTAGGTCCTGCTTGTCAATTTTTGGTTTTGTTGCAATTGCTTTTGAGGACTTAGTCATACATTCTTTCCCAAGGTTCATGTCCAGAATGGTGCTTCCTACATTTTTTTCTAGGATTCTTATAGCTTGACATTTTACATTTAAGCCTTTATTCCATCTTGAATTAATTTTTTTATATGGTGAAAGGTAGGGGTCCTATTTCATTCTTCTGCAAATGGCTAGCCAGCTATCCTAGCATCGTTAACTGAATAGGGAGTCCTTTCCACATAGCTTATTTTTGTCAACTCTCAAAGCTACTTTTGTATAACACTTTCGGAATGATATAGGAAAAACATCAATTATACATCTCAAAATATATAATTGTGGGGAGAGAGAAAGTTGGAGATTATAGCCAGCCAATTCCTTACTCATTCCCCTGTCTAATGCCACCAGGTGCTCCTAAATTTAAATGTCCTAAAATGAACCTATGTACTTTGTATCCTATAAGCTGCCCTTCAATTTTATATACTGATTGATATGAAAATGCAAAATCCTGCATTGACAAGTTCAATACTTTAGGACCATTTTATGAAATAAAACAAGAGAAAACTTTCCAACTTAGGGCATTGGAAATAGTTTCTTGAGAAGGTTAAAATAGACCAGGTCAAATCATAGGTTGTGTGGGTCACCAACAGTGCAAACCAAGTAGAGGGGAGAACACCCTAGTCTCAAGTGGCTATAGTTAATGATATTTGCCTAGAAATCAATAGGTCCCTTTTATATATATCCACAACCAAACACAACCAAATATGTGAAAGAAAAAATAACTAATAGACTTTCTTGGAGGGGGTGGTTAGAAGAAATTTCAGTGTTTAAACTGAAATGAGATGAAAGCTCTTGTCTGAGTGGGAAAAGTTTTCAAATAAATTTGGTAACTTAATAAAAGATTTTATTAGACATGGGTTAACTCTTAGATACCAAATAAAAGAACTTTCTAATTGTATAGATCGGGGATGCAGGGCTGGTTCAACATACACAAGTCTATAAGCGAAATCTACCACATAGATTTTAAAAATTATCACTATTCATGAATATTGCATGAAATTTTTGTTTGTCCTACAAGAATGACTACTTGGAAGGTACCTACAAAAGCATCCACCAAAAGCTAGTAGATACTGCCATTAAACAGTCACTTTGAGAATAAACATGAAATAAGAATTACAGTCTAGGCTCTGTTAATTAGAAAGTTGGTGGGCTTATTTTAATAGGCTAAGGATGCTGGATATGACAAAGCACCATATTAAAAACTTTTAAGTGATTATCTTTTACCATATACAATTTAATATGCTTAATTAACTACCTCTCTCTCCTTTTGGGGGTCCTCTTATGTCCAAGATACTCTGCACAAAGAAATACAAAGTCTTCATCAAAAGCCTAGGATCCATAGTCAAACCACTCTGCTTGTGTGACCTTCAGCAAGGTACGTAACCTCTCTGTGCCTCAGTTTCTTCATCTGTAAAGTGAGGATAACAGTACCTATTTAGAGAGTTGTTGTTAACATTCAAAGTTTTAATGTGCTGAAAAATAGACTCAGAAATAGCTGTAAGCACATAGAAGCTTTAAATAAATAAGAGCTAAAAGATACAGTAATTGCATTTTTCCTTCACATATGGTTTCTTAGTTTTTATGAAGATTTTCATGTGCACCATTAATTAGAACATTCCTGTGAAATATATAGTGTTTACCCTATTTTTCACATACGGGAAGTGAGCAAAAGAGATTATTCAAGGCCATTCCACCAATAAGAGCCAAATTTGGAAGGAGGATGAAGGTCTCACAGCTGTTGCTCCAGGATGCAACCCATTGTGTTGCACTGTCCCTCGGTAATTGAATTTTAATCAGGTCTGTGGATAAGTCACACACACACACACACACACACACTCTCTCTCTCTCTCTCACACACACACACACACGAAGCATGAAACAACTTTGGACAAAACACAAGAAAAATAATCTCACCAGGAAAATGCTTCAGGAAGCAGTTACTTCAACATAGACAAAGTCAAACAGCAGACAAGGAGGAAGCAATTAAACAGGAGCCCTCCAGTTTGTTTCATTTTACTTCTCATTATATTGAGCATAGTGTCATTCAGAGACTAAGAAAAAGACCCCACCTTTGAGCCTAGGGAGATCCTGGAAGCCTTCGACAGGGTAACTGAGTCATTGCTGTGAGACGAGTAGAGCCTCACACGCTGACACCCACACGGAGAAAGCAAGGGAGTGACTGTCAATAATTAAACCATCTGTAACCCTTAATATTGTTTGGTTCTCAGAAACAAATCAAGGACACCATGCACAGAATGTAAATTGGCCTTTGTAGACTTGCCCCCTGGTATAATTAGCAGATGGTCTTTCATAATGCAGGTCAGTTCAGAAGAAATCTATTTGCATAATGAAACGTGCTATTTACATGTACGCTGAAACTCAGCTTCTTTAAGTCCCTATGTTCCGCTTGTTGGGACGACTTGGAAAAGAAGTGTTTTATTATTGTCCATCCACAGAATAGAAGCTCTAGACCTGGAAGTCCTCAAAATATAGTAGGGATAATGAAACATTTTTTTAAATATCAACAAATGAAAGAGAAATGTAGTAAGTGCCGTAAGCGATCCTAAAGGATAGCTAAGAATCTTGAAGGATTCTTTGCTTGGATATGCAATCATGAAACACTGATAGGATGAGTGAAAAAATGTAATGTTAATAAATGTGGTCTCTTTTGGAAGAAGAAATGTTTCAAAATGAGGCATATAGAGGAGAGGGGAAGAAAGAAAGCTAGAGAGAGAGAGAGAGAGATGTTGGAAATATTTTCTTGGTAGATAGACAAAGGGAGGTCAGAGAGGTGATTTTCAGGTGGAAGAGATAAAAAGAGTGAGGGCTCAGGGAACTATAAAGGAAGAAATGCTACAAGAATAAGCTCTGAGGGCATTGTCACAAAGACTTAGAAAGATCTAGAAAATGTTTTCAGTGTAACTTTAGAAGAGAGAGATGTTAAATTTTGCTTGACTACCCAAGTATTTTCTTGCTTCATCTGCCAAAGTCCATGTCACTGGAAAAGATGGGAGACCTTTTTAGCAGGTCTTCTATAGGATTTCTCTGTAATAAAAATGTACGGGAGTAGAATGCATAACTATCTGTAAGCTGGTAACTTGCCGCTTAGTGGAAAGTTTATAAATCAATTTAGCAAAATATAAAAGAGTACAACTTAAAGTACAACATATTAAAGCTAATAATATAAAACTAATAATTTTTTAAAAATAGTATCTATAATGAGATTGTCACAGCCCAGGTGGTATTACTGAAATATTGAGAATAAGATGTGTGTCCATGTTTAATGTTGTTTACAGTATGATTTTTATTAAAAAAAAACCTAAAAAACCAGTAGGCAACTAATTTTAAAACCTAGATAAAAGAGATCAATTTATAGAAAAATACTCCTTACTCAGATTGACCCCAGTAGAGAGAGCAATTGCCATAGAAGAAAAGGGAAAGCCGCTAACAAGCTCCTTCACAATAAAAGCTTTAGACCTTGATGGCTTCACAAACATCTTCCCTCATTCTCCCTCTGCACATGTATCCCAGAACTTAAAGTATAACATTAAAAAAAAGTGAACAGATCCCATTTAAACAAAAGGCATCAGATGCTGTGTCCTGCATCTCCCATCTTTTGCTTTTGTTTTGTTGTTGCTGTTTTTGAGATGGGTTCTTGCTGTGTTGCCCAGGCTGGAGTGCAATGGCATGATCACAGCTCACGGGATCCTCCTGTTTTAACCTCCCAGGTAGCTGGGACTACAGGCACATGTCAACACTAGTGGTCTTTTTTCTTTCTTTCTTTCTTTTTTTTTTTTGTAGAGATGGATATCTCATTATATTGCCCAGGCTGGTTCACACTCTTGGCTCAAGCAATCCTCCTCCCTCAAAAAAAAAAAAAAAAAAAAAAAAAACAAAACTGTGTAATCTCAACACACCTTAAGTCTTTTCAGTAGAGGGAAAGAGAGGTTAAACTTTTAAGTTTATTTTATAAAATGAGCAAATTTGTTTTTCTGCAACCTGACAGATACAACCAAAAAATAAAACAGCAGACCAATCCCATTTATAAACATCTGCATAAAAATCTTAGCTCAATTACTAGCAAATATAATTTATTTAGAAAAAACTATACATCATGACTAAGTAAGCTTCATTCTAGGAATTAAAGCATGGTTAAATATCAGGAAATCCCATTAGTAAAGTCTAAGATATTAGAGTTAAGGAAAAATATCTTATGCTTATATCTGCTTATATAGACAGAGAAAAGGTATTTGACAAAATTCACAATCTATTATGCTTAAAAAGAGCAAAAGCACTCAATAAAGTTGGAATTGAGGAATTAAGTCCTTAATTCAGCAATGTATGTTATATAGTTTCATTCTAATAACCATCACTTTATTTCACAGGGGAATATTTCTTGCAAAATTTAGAACAAGACCAGATTTGTGTTTATTTATAGATAAAAAGTCAATGTCTTGAATATATAAAAAATTCTAAAATACAGAAATACAAGGCTAATAATCCTATAGAAAATTACTAAAATTTTCTGTAATTCTAGTTTGTCATTAAAATAATACTAGATTAAAATAAAATAATTTTCTGTAATTATAAAATGAGCTGTAGAATATGAGTAGAGTGAATTGATAAGTTTAAATATTTGTGAAAATGTGAAAAAATGCTTAGTCTCACTTACAATAAACAATATACAGATTAAGAACAAGAGCAATTATGCCAGTCTAGCCAACATGTTGAAAACCTGTCTCTACTAAAAATACCAAAATTTTGCTTGGCATGGTGGCATGTGCCTGTAATCCCAGCTACTTGGGAGGCTGAGGCAGGGGAATTGCTTGAACCAGGGAGGTGGAGGTTGCAGTGAGCGGAGATCGCACTACTGCACTCCAGCCTAGATGACAGAGCAAGACTCTGTCTTAAAAAACAAAACAAAACAAAACAAAATTATGATTTAATTTCTCATTTATCAATTTGAAAAATTTCCTTAAATTTGACAAGTATGCTGTTTGAGAAATTATGAGTGAATATGAAATTATAACTGAAGATAATGCAAAAACATAAAACACAAAGGAAGGGAATTTAAAAATATCTAGAAGAATTGCATACAAATTTATTCTCTCACCATGTAATACCAATTCTAGGAATCAATGCAAATGAAATAAGAAGGCTTATGCTCAGAGCTATTTCATATAGCATTATTTCAAAAGCAAAAAGCAGAAGATAAAAAAATCTACGTGTAGGAGATTGCTGGAGTAAAACATGGTAGACCCAAATAATGAAATGCCATACAAGTATAAAAAGGAATGAGGGGTCAGGTACCATGGCTTACATCACTAATCTGAACACTTTAGGAGGCTGACGTGGGAATTTCACTTGAGGATAGGAGTTCAAGATGAACCTGGGCAATAAAGTAAGACTCTATGTGTACCAAAAAAAAAAAAGTTTTAAAATGAAAAAAAGTGGCATGCACCTCTAGATCTAGCTACTTGGGAGGCTAAGGTGGAAGGATTGCTGGAACCCAGGAGTTCAAGATTGCAGCGAGCTATGATCATGCCACTGCACTTTAACCTGGAAGACAGGGTGAGACTTCATTGTTAACTGAAAAAAATTAAAAAGTAGAATAAGGAACGAGGAATATCTCTGTATACTGCCATGACGTTTCTCCAGAATATATTAAGTATCTGTCACATACAGACAGGTTTAGAGATTTGCCAATTTGGTTTGCAATAGGAAGCTAGACAGCCAAGAAAGGAAGATCCACAGAATAAAAGAGCACTTGATGTGGTAGATGGAAAATTTAGAACTAACAGTATTTAATTAATGTATATGGCAAGGCAATAAAAGAAGAAAAAACTGAACCACAAAAGCAAATAGAATTGTAGTAACTTTCTGGCTGTTTAATCAATGATTATATTTACATAGACTTATTGATGTAAGGCTTATCTAATGAAATATGATGTATATATAATATGGGAAGGCAGGATGTATTGCAAGGAGGGTAAGTCCTTATCTGATCTAATGGTAAGTGAATACAGGATGTCTGAAACTAACCAATCAAGAAATAGCCACGTAAGCATGTACTATGGAAATGTGGAGGCAACTATGGAAACAGAAGCCTTTGCTTCTATTGATTTGGGCTGAGTTGCATATGCTTTTCAGCATGATGTAAATTTTTCCAAAACACCAAGTGAAAGTATTACAAGGATTAAAAATATAGAAAAACAGTATTTCAAAAACAAGATGTTCAGAAACATTTCTCTAAGTTCTTTTATTTATTTATTTATTATACTTTAAGTTCTGGGGTACATGTGCAGATCATGCAGGTTTGTTACATAAGTATACACGTGCAATGGTGGTGGATTGCTGCATCCATCGCCCTGTCATCCACATTAGATATTTCTCCTATGCTATCCCTCACCAATCCCTCACCCCTTGCTATTCCTCCCCTAGCCCCCCAACCCCCAGGCCCTGATGTATGATGTTCCCCTCCCCGTGTCCGTGTGTTCTCATTGTTCAACACCCGCTTATGAGTGAGAACATGCAGCATTTGGTTTTCTGTTCTAGTGTGAGTTTGCTGAGAATGATGGTTTCCAGTTTCATCCATGTCCCTGCCAAGTACATGAACACATCCCTTTTTATGGCTGTATAGTATTCCATGGTGTATATGTGCCACATTTTTTTATCCAGTCTATCACTGATGGGCATTTGGGTTGGTTCCAAGTCTTTGCTATTGTGAACAGTGCCACAATAAACATATGTGTGCATGTGTCTTTATAATATAATGATTTATAATCCTTTGGATATATACCCAGTAATGGAATTGCTGGGTCAAATGGTATTTCTATTTCTAGATCCTTGAGGAATCGCCATACTGTCTTCCATAATGGTTGAATTAATTTACACTCCCACATTTCCCTATTTTAAAATGAAAGTGTACTAGGCTACAGTGATCTCTGACTGGGCAGAAAATAGAGAATGAGATAGACTCCAAAAAGACCTGAAGGGATGTCAGTCGAGCCTGAAGACCATCACCAGAGCTAGTCCTGAAGGGTGAGTCCACAATGAGTGAAAGGGAGAAGGGGTGCTCTCAGTTTAAACTACAGCAACAGTATGGAGATTCTCCATTAGTTATTTTTTTCTCTCTGTCCAGTTTTTCTTGGTTCAGATGTCTCTAGGATGATGCTAAGTATTTTTGACTTATTATATTTCATGTAATAACAGCTTATGAAACATATACTGAAAAGCTCATGTGTTATTAATTTTATTGCCCTGTCAATAAGATCCAGGATTACCTTCCTCATTTTACTTTTTAAAAATTATTTTCTCAACTTTTCTGCTGTGATTTACACTTATGGGAAACTTTTACTTTTTGGAGTTTTTTTTAAAAATTATAGCCTCTTAATTGCAACTTATACATTCCATAATTTTGTTTGCAATGAGAAAAATGCTTTTTAAATTATATTTCAATTTCACAGGTAATTTAAAGTAAAACAGTAGGGGATATTGGTAATGTTGTATCCAAGTGTATTCTATTTGTCATGATTGTGTAAACACTTATAATTTCTCACTTGACTTATCTAGTCCCTCTAGACAGATATTCAGAGAATGAGGATGAACATTCTTCTGAATACAAAGACTTGGGACATTCTTTCCCTTTAAATGAGAGAAAGACAAGAAACTGAGTAAGTGTAGAAATAATAATTTTCATCACAGACATCCTTTCAGAGTGGCAGTTTGAGCTCGCCTTCAGGTGACACCTGGAGTGTGGTGTCATTCCCTGTGTGTGTGTGCTATATCTTAGGGCACTGCCATGCCTCCTGTTAAAGCTTAGAACATGTCATCCCAAAGTATGACACCCTTGGTCTGCTGAGTACTTTCAATGGAAGGAAACTGGAAGGGCTTCAGAAGCAAGAAGTTCTCTCTGACCTTCTCCTACCTTCCTTTCTCCTTTTTGCATTTCTCTACCAAAAGTGGGTCATAGAAACTAGAATTCTTCTCCTTGAAAGCAGGCCATGAAACCTATACATTTCACTCTCTGATCTTCTCCCTTTTCCCTTAAGGGTCCTTATCTGATGGATGTCATGCCCTATAACTGAAGAAGGCATGCTACCTGGAGAGGCCCAGAAGAATCTGAAAAAACAGGCCTTACCAGGCTCCTTCAGTTTATCACCATTACAACACACTCTTTTTGTCCGATTTTTTCAACTTTTCTGCTGTGATTTACACTTACTGGGAAGCCTTTGCTTTTTGAAATTCTTAAAAAATTTATAACCTGTTAATTGTAGCTAGCACATTTCACAATTTTTTACAATAAGGAAAATGCTTTTGTTTTTTGAAACTATGTTTCAATGTTTTTGAAACTATATTTCAATTTCACAACTAAGTTAGGATAAAAGGCAGCAAGAGATATTGGTAATGTTGCATCTAAGTGTGTTCTATTGTGTAAACATTTATAATTTCTCACTTCACTTCTCTAGTCCCTCTGGAGAGAGATTTATTGAATGAGGACAAACATTCCTCTTGTATGTTCTCTTAGGCACTACCATGGCCCTTGCTGGGGCTCAGAACCTGTCATCCCAAAATATGACATCTTGTTCTGCTGAGTGCTTTCAATGTAAGGAAATTGGAAGGGTCTCAGAAGCAAGAAGTACTTCTTCACAGCTGATCCTGCATTGAATCCAAGCATAAAACTGTAAAGTCTTCCCTGAGTCTTCGGGCTTTCATTTCTGAAGTCTCCTGTGTCGTGTTCTACATGTCATAACAAATGAAAATTTGCTATGCGTTTATCTTGCTCACCTGTCTTTTGTTGTGGGACTGTCAGGTAAGACCCTTGCAATGTGTGGGGAAAAGATATTACCTTTTCACTTCTATAGTCTCAAGACCTAGCACCATATCTACTACATGTTGAATTAATGAAGTTGGATGATTGAATGACTATTATCCCAATCTTTGCCACTGATTTGGCTATTTAAGCAGATAATATTTTCCTCCTAAATATTCCCCCCATGCCATACTGAAAGTCACAGAATATCATTTTTGCAGAAGAATAGCTTTCCTCAGTCAAGGCTAAATAAGGAAGAGGAATCGACAGCAAATACCTCCCATTCAAGTTAGAATAAACATGATTTTATCTTAGCCACATAAATGTTCAGACCAGAGGTTTCCATTTAGAAGAAGCAAATCATGACAAGTTCAAAAAACATTCTTGTTAACACACTCAAAAATTATAATCAAAATTTGGGCATCACCTGAAATCATAAACTTTTTAAACAAATAGAAGGATATGAGGATAAGGGGATGTTTCTAATTAGATTCACTTTTCTAAAATATTTCACTTACCTTATTAGTCTGATGCTCACAGGCATAAGTTCACTGTGTGATTTGTGATAACATACATGGGTCTACAGAATTCATAGCACTGCAGACTTGGGAAGAGTCTACATATCCAGTGCATGGCCCAGAGCAGCAGTGTTTATTTCAGCTAGTAACTAACATGATAAATGATGTGCCACCCTCTGTCACTACTGGCCGTTAGAAATGCTGGCTGACCATCAGCCCAGAGCTCAATTCCCACAGGTTCCCTGCCAAACTATTTGAATAAACCTAGGCGAGTTTACAATTTCTGCTTTGGCTGAAAAATATCTTTCACTTGGCAGTGTACGTTTCAGAATGTTTGAGGGTGAACTGTTGGTTTCTATGACTAAATTAGTCATTTTAGGTCTTTTTAAAACACCTTTCTTGAAGTATAATTCGCATACCATATGATTTTCCCCTTGCTTTCAGTATATTTACAGAGTCGTATAATCATCACCACAACCAATTTTCTAATATTTGCATTATTCCAAAAAAAAAACAACAAAACAAAACTCTGTACCCCAAGTCATCCCACCTCACCTAGCCCTACGTAAGCACTAGTGATTCTCCTTCCCTGCTAGGTGGAGCTGTTTTCAATGTCATTTGTTTGTTTATTTGTTGGTGACATGGCCAGTCTATTTTAATGAAGTCTGTTTCCCTGCAGTGTCTCTCCTAAGGAGGGCACAACTTTGGACATGCATAGATACTTGGGACAACAGTGGTTTTAGCAGAGCTCTCTGTCCTTTTTCCTGATCTCTCTGTTAAGCTGCCTGTCTTACTTGATATCACATCCACCTGTGGGCCTACTGCTTATCAGCTGATTGCTCTGTTGTTTTTGACAATGCCCTGGGGCATAAATTGCTCTTTAGTATGAACTGATGAAATCCATGTAGTAGTCGTTTTGTTTCTTGTTTTGATTTTGTTTTAAGACACAGTCTTGCTCAGTCCCCCAGGCTGGAGTGTTGTGGGGTGATCTCAGGTCACTGCAACCTCCTCCTCCTGGGTTCAAGAGATTCCTCTGCCTCAGCCCCGTGAGTAGCTGGAATTACAGGTGTCTACCACCATGCCCAGCTAATTTTGGTATTCTTAGTAGAGATGGGGTTTCACCATGTTGGCCAGGCTGGTCTTGAACTCCTGACCTCAGGTGATCCACCCACGTTGGCCTCCCAAAGTGCTGGGATTACAGGTGTGAGTCACTGAGCCCAGCAGCAGTAGTCCTTTGTAAGGACAATTTTTGAGTTTTATCACAACCCCAGGAGGTTACTTACTATCTTTTTCTCTTACTCTGTCTGGCGAACTAGGTGGCCTATGGTTAAACTTTTTGCTATCACTTAAAAAGAGCTATTTGTTTTCACAAATACCCTTAGACTTGAACTTCACCATATTCTGTTTAAAATAAAATCAATTCCTTTGGGGGCATTCAGAAGACTCTTTTCCTGTGGATTCTCCTTTCATTTGGTTAAGATGTCTCAACCCTACTCCAGGCACTGGATGGAGGAGTTAGCCTCTGGTCCTCTGGACTTTTTGTTTTGACTCTCCTGGTGTGGAATGCTACCCAGAGATTGAGTTCATGTCAGGAAAATTGGAACCTCAATATTCTTGCCAGCCAAGCACAGAGTAGATACTCCATCCTTAGTGGGAGCTCGGGGGAGGCAGATAGCCACCAACCCTTTGGTGACATGCATCTGGAATATATCCTCTTCGTGGAGTTGGAGAGAATGAAAAATGTTGGTGGCCTCCCCCTCCCAATAAAATATGGCAACTCTTGATCAGAAATTGAAAAGAGAAGGAGCTCATCTTTTTGACAATTTGGATTGAAGTTTCTGTTAGGCTGAGCTTAGGGTAAAGAGGAAGAGTGTAGAAAGTGCTCAAATGTTGCAGACTCTCATTGTTCTGTGTTTTAGTAGATCTTCTTGAAGAGATGTTTCTTCATTTGCTGTATGCCATTTGGACAATTTCCACAGGCTAGATTTGGAGGCAAAAAAAGTAAAACTGTTGTTCACTGGCTTTGCTTGTCTTGTTGCTGGAGAGTGGGAAACAGACCTTGTAATGATGTCATCTCAGAAGTGGAACTCTGATCCCTTTCAAGTTTTTTTCTTGAGCATTCCTCTTTCTTGTTTGAACTCTATGAATAACTAATGTTGAAACCAATGGCAAGGAAAATTCGGTGTTTCTTTAAAGCCATTTAAGTTGCAATTAAGTTACTCTATTATTGCTGTTTTACTGCTGGATAAAAAATTTACTAAAGAATTTTTAATAAATAGGTAAATAAGGAATTTTAAAAGAAAATTCACATAAATAAAAATATACTCATGTAATAAACCTGCATGTTTAACCCCTGAATCTAAATTTAAAAAAATAATTTCTAATTTTATTTTAGATTCGGGGTTATACATGCGTGCTTATTACATGCTGGAACAAACCTCTTCCTTTAATCTCTGAGAAAGAAAAAAGCGTGATCACTGCAACTATAATGGAAAAGAGCAAAACGTCACTGTCTGCTCCAGAGGGAAGTATCATGTGGGATTTTACTGTGCAATGAGGAAATGGGGAAAGGAGTCAGATGGAAGTCACTGAGGTCTGGCTTCTACTTAGATGTTCCTTCATGTGTGGGCTTCATCAGATGGCCTGAGCACAGTGTCAGAGATGTCTCAGCCTCAAGAGCAACTGCGGTCATAAGGATGATGTGGGAGACAAGAAATGACGTCTTCCGCCCCTCTTTCACGTTGATGAGATAAACCCAGAAAACAAAACAATATCTTAAGCAATTTCTGTTTCCTGTTACCAAGACTTCTACAAGTGCAGGTGGCCAATGTTGACGCCAGTGGCAGGGGATATCAACGTGGCCTGTTCATGCTCCTCAGCCTCCTGCTTCCTGGGAGGCTGAAGGAGTCCTAGCCTCAGCTCGGCCTGAGGAGTTTCCCTTTGCCTCTGCAGGGTGCAGAGCAAGCTGGGCACAGGACCATGGGAGCAGCCTTAGCCAGTGGCAATGAGAGTCAGTGGGCAAACACCCAGCTTTGTCATGGGATTGAGCCTCTGTTGTCCACAGCTGTCACCTGCCGTTGAATGCAGCCTCTGCTGGCATCTTCTCCTTTCTCATTTCACTTCCCCTTTCCCTACTAGTGCTTCCGGGATCACCTCCCAAATAAATCAGTGGCACCCAAGTCCCTATCTGGGGTCACCTGGGGTGGGCAACATTAGAGGGCCTTTTCCCCCTCTACTCTTCACTAGGGGGTGGGTCCAAACATACCCCAGAGCCATCTGTGTTTCTACTTCTGCCCCTCAGCTTGGTGAGATCTGACCCTCAACACCCTGCTCAAGTTTCTCATCTCTTCAAGACTTGCCATCTTTCCTTAGTGGGCAGTGGGAGCTCCTACCTCTGAGTTTCTACTGTAGCCACTGTAGATGTGAAGTCCCAGCCACACACCATACCTCAGGAGAGTGGAGGGAAACTATATGGCTGAGGTTGTACGGGATGTCCTCTTTGCCTATGACAAGCTTCCTTGCTCAGTGTCTTCATGCATGCAAAGGACATAATACGTGCCTACATTTGTTTATTGGGAGCCTGCAATCTATTCTTTTTAGTGTGCAGTTCTAGGAGTTTTGACAAATGTGCACTGACATGTACCCCTCTGACAGTCAAGATAGAGAAGTTTCATTACTCCTGAAATTCCCACATGCCCATTGTAGCAACCCCTGACCCATCTGTAATCTGCAGCAACCACTGCCTTGTTCTCTGCCTCTGTAGTTTTGCCTTTTCCAGAGTGTCCTGTGAATGGAATCACATAGCATGTAGCCTTTTGAGTATGACTTCTCCACTTCTCCCTTCAGCACAATGCCTTTGACGTTCATCCAGGTTGTTGTGAGCCTTAAGTTCGTTTATTGCTGAGTAGTGTTTCACGGCATGGATGCAGTGATATGCTCATCCATTCATCAGTTGAAGGACATTTCAACAACTGAAAGGTTGTTTTTACTTTGGGGTGATTATGAACAAAACTTATATGAAGCAAAGATGATATTAGTTAATTTTACCTATCAGGGTGTTGTTGTGAAGATGAGGTTAAATACATTTTATCCACTAAATTTTAACAAATCTGGAACCTTGCTCATAGTAGACATTTAATAAATGTTTCTCTTTTTAATACTCATAGTAGACATTTAATGTTTTACTTTGGGATGATTATGAATAAAACTATGAACAAAAGATGATATTAGTTAATTTTACCTATCAGGCTGTTGTGAAGATGAGGTTAAATGGTCACTAAACCACATAGGTCACTCAGTATGGTAATGATTTTTTAATTCCCTTTGAGGAAAATATTTTCAATAAGAGCTTCCATGGACTGGGACCACATCTGAGTGTTCACCACTGTATTTCTCAAATCCTACTCAATTTCAAACCTACTCTAGTCTGGCTTTTATCATCACTGTAGCACCAAAAGCCCTCCTTCACTAGTGACATGCATGTCACTAACTCCAAGTCCATGTTCTTACCCCCCTCTTACTTGATCCATCTGGGTTCACCACATGCTTATTACTGAAACACTGTATCCTTGCCTTTCATAACCTTACACTCTTCTGGTTCTCCTCTTCCTTCACACTTTGGCCAGTTCATTCTTTTCCATGTGGCCTTAAGTAAGTTGGGATTCCTCAAAGTTTGATCTCAGATCTTTTCTGCAATCTTTTTTCCTTAGTTAATTTCAACTGTCACCAAATCACCATGGCTTCAATCACTGTCTTTAACTGTGCTTTTTATGTTTACTCCAACTTTTCTCTGAGCTCCAGATCCATAGAACCAACAGCTGTCTCCTTGTCATCAGTCTTGTTGATCTCATGGGCATCCTATGCTTCACATCTTGAAACCCAAGCTCATAATTTTCTTTTCATTCCTGGCATTCCCCCAGTATTTCAGAGCATAGGGTATGGCTTAAGCCAGAAAGTTGGAAATTATCTTTGATATCTTTCCTTTATCAGGAACAGTATTCTACCAATCACCAAGACTTCTAATTTTTCTTCTAAGTATGCCTCAAATTGGCCTATTTCTCTTTATATCCGTGGCTGTTCCCTCTTACATAAGCTACTTCAATATCCTCCATACTGGTCACTTACATCTGTTCTTGTACTCCTTTAATTTATATACCTCATTGTGAACAGAATCATCTTTTAAAAATGAAAGTCTCTTCATGAAAT